TAGTAATAACCACCAATAATAATCAAAACAAGCTTATGAATGAAACTGGATTTTGATTTGGACAGTTGTGTTCCTCATGAGTCATTTTAATATTAGTGTAATCCCAAGGCATTATTTCTACTTCAAAAAAAAAAAATTATACCTTAAGGCTAGGTTTATAATAGAGCTAAATAAGTACTTTCCAAGACCTAAAGCTTAACTTAATTGTCTTTACTAAAAGACTCCACCTCAATAATTTCTCATAATGTGAGTCTTAATCAAGAAACTAGATTTACAGGAAGTTTAATAGAAGTTCCTCATCCACATGAAGGATTAACCTTGTCTAATGATACATCCTAATAATGACTTTGGTTAGAAGCACTTTTAAGTCAGACAGAAAAAAGGAAAAATAAAAATAAATCAAAGGCCTAATAAAATAACTGTTCTAAGAGATAGAATTCCTAAAAAATGTTGAAGAATGACATGTGAAAGGCAAAACTTTAAACTTACAGAAAAATTCTTATGACCCAAAGGAGAACAGTCTTCCTTAACACGCAAAAAACACAAACCATGGCAGGAAAAGACTGAAAAATTAAGACTACGCTTAAATTCACAATTTGCATATAATAAAAACAACACAATTAAAGTGAACAGACAAATCACATTGAAGGGAGGAGGGGGAAGATATTTTCCAGCCAAAGGAGGGTCCACGGGTACAACCCTTGGGGAGGACAGGGTCTGAGAAAAGCTCTGTGGCCTAAAGGCAGTTATAGAAACAACAACAAAAACAAACCAAAAAACCCAGCGACAAGGTCTTAGGTAGGGACAGAGAAGGACTCCTACCCGGCTCCAGATCCCTTTAGCTAATCAGGTCAACCACCAGGCGCAGCAAGTCCAAGAGGCTGCTCCAAGAATCCAGACAAGATGATTATGGAGCCCTTGCTTCAGGCCTTAGAAAATGTTGAGGATTATGTTATAGTAGGGGGGAAATAGCCTGAAACTTGTCTCTCAGCCCCTTCAGCCCCAGGACAGTAGTTTCTAACTACAGCCAGGCACTAAGGCTAGGTGGAAGTTCTTGATCAACTCAAGATATTGGCTCTGCTCCTGTGGCCTAGCAGTGCTTAAGATACCACAGCTTGACAACAGCAAAGACAGATACGTTTTTTTTTTTTTCTTTTTTTTTTTAAATAATAAATTTTATTTTTATATTCCCCCATACAATTGCAAATGCCCCATTCTGACCCCAATCCCTCCCCTCCCGCCCCCCACCCCCCAAAAAGTGTCTCTGGTTCATAGTTTTTTGTTGATTTTGATTTTCACTTTCTTATATTCATTTTCCTGGTCCCTTATTTAAGTTTTCTAGATTCCTGCTATGAGTGAGACCATCCGGTATTTTTCTTTTTCTTTTTGGCTTATTTCGCTGAGCATGATCCCTTCCAGCGCCATCCATGCTGCTGCAAATTGCATGTGTTTATCTTTTTTGAATGCTGAGTAATATTCCATGGTGTATATGGACCACATCTTCTTGATCCAGTCATCTATTTTTGGGCATTTGGGCTGTTTCCAAAGCTTAGCTATTGTAAATAGTGCTGCTATAAACATAGGGGTGCAGGTGTTCTTTGGAATGGATGTTTCTGTGTCCTTTGGGTAAATACCTAGGCGTGGAATTGCTGGATCATATGGAAGCTCTATGTTTAGTAGGTCCAGAAATCTCCACACAGCTCTCCATAGTGGTTGGACCAGTTTGCACTCCCACCAACAGTGCAGAAGAGTTCTTTTTTCTCCACACCCTCGCCAACATTTGTTGTTGCTAGTTTTTTTAATATGTGCCATTCTCACTGGTGTGAGATGGTATCTCATGGTAGTTTTGATTTGCATTTCCCTGATTACAAGTGATGTTGAACATTTTTTCATATGTCTGTTGGCCATTTGCATTTCCCGAAGACAGGTATGTTTTTAATTGGCTCTCAGTGGGCATCTCCTCTGCAATTCCGGCAGGGAGGCTAGGTTCTCAGACATGGGGCAGCACAGAACATACCAAAATACACAAGGAATTATATATTTTAACCATAATGAAACAAGTGAAGGTATAACTATTTAAAGATGGGAAGAACTCAGTTTGCTTAAAACTGCATGAAATCCCCAGATTGCCTGCTGCAAACATCCATGACGACAGGGATCCTTCCTAGATCCAGCCAGCAATCAACTGCCTGAGGTTTGGGGTGGGGGAGGGAGGCACTCAGAGATTAGAGGGTTTATTCAGGTCACATTGCAATTTAAAATACATCTTTTATAATTAGAAATTTTAAAATAATTACATGAAAACCACTTCCTGTATATTTGAAATGTCTACTTCCCGACAAGTTCAAACAGAAGAAATAGTGATTACAAAAAACCATGAATAGCCAAAGCCCTACTGATGAAAACAAAGGAGAAAGGAGGCATCACACTTCCAAACTTCAAGCTATACTACAAAGCCATAATAATTAAACAGACACACAGACCAATGGAACGAAATAGAGAGCCCAGAAATAAAGCCACACTTATATGAACAACTAATCTTTGACAAAAGAGCAAAGAATATGCAATGAACATGGACAATTTGTTCAATAAATGGTGCTGGGAAAACTGGACCTCCACATGCAAAAAGATGAAACTAGACCACTACCTCTCACCGTGCACAAAAATCAACTCAAAATGAATAAAAGAACTGGACATAAGACCTGAAACCATAAAACATATAGAAGAAAATATAGGTAAAATGCTACAAGACAAACATCTCAATAACATCTTTAAAGACTCATCACCCAAAGCAGTGATAGTGAAGGCAAAGATAAACATCTGGGATTATATCAAACTGCAAAGCTTCTGTACAGCCAAAGAGACATTAACCAAAGCAGAGACACCCCACTGATTGGGAAAAAAATCTTTGCACTCCATTCAACTGATAAGGGACTGATCACAAAGATATACAAAGTACTCACACAGCTCAACAAAAACAAAATAAACAATCCAGTCAAGAAATGGGCAGAAGAACTTAAAAGACATTTCTCCAATGACGAAATGCAAATGGCCAACAGGCATATAAAAAAATGTTCAACATCCCTTATCATCAGGGAAATGCAAATCAAAACCTACATTGCTGGTGGGAGTGCAAACTGGTCCAACCACTATGGAAAGCTGTCTGAAGGTTCCTCAGTCTACTGAAAATGGAGCTACCATATGACCTGACCCGGCAATTCCACTCCTAGGGATCTACCCAAAGGACACAAAAACATTGATTCAAAAGAACACCTGTACACCCATGTTTATTGCAGCACTATTTACAATAGGTAAAACCTGGAAACAACCCAAATGCCCAAAAATAGATGACGGGATCAAGAAGATGTGGTACATATACACAATGAATATTATTCAGCGATCAAAAAAGATAAACTCATGCCATTCACAGCAATGTGGATGGAGCTAGAAGGAATTATGCTCAGTGAAATAAGCCAGAAGGAAAAAGAAAAATATCGGATGGTTTCACTTATAATGGGAATACAGAGGAACCAAATAAGACATCAGTGTAAAAATAACAGTAACAATACAAAACACGACAAAGCAAAAACAGACAATTATAAACCAGAGACATCCTGCAGGCAGGCGAGGAGGAGGGAGAGGGATCAGAGCGAGGGAGGGAGGAACACAGGGGACTGAGGTGATGGTGCACGGGTGCCTTGGGGAAGGAAATTCTATGGCGACTCAATCTGAGGGGGTGGGGGGAAGCAAATACTGTTTAAAAATTAAAAAAAAAATTTAAAAAAAATATAGTGATTAGGAAATATTTAAAAGCAAGTCTGGAGAGAAGGCAAGTATGGGCAAGAATGCTGTTTCCTCACCCAAGCACATTAGAGAATTAATTCAGAAGAAAAGCTAACCGTTTACATGAGAGTATTTTTTTCCTTGAGCAAAATGCCTGGCATTTCCTTCTGCTCCTAACAACTATCAGTAGTTTATCGATCTAAACACCACACAATTTTTTCCACTCTGAATAATACCAGATCCAGCAACTGCAGGCCAAGAGGCGCACCTCTGCCAATAAAAACAGAGAAGTTAAGGGGGCCTCCATGGCGGCGCAGCGGTTGGCGCCGGTTCGATCCCTGGCCGCCGGGCGAGGGTCCCACATGGCACGCAGACCTCTCCTGCTGCCCACTGATCCCCTAAGCAGTGTACTTTGGTCCTTCTGCCTGCTCTGCTCCCCGCTCTGGCTCTGGTGAATTCTCACACCCTCCTGTGCTTCTGACTGTACCCAGTGCTTGTATAAATAAATAAATAAGTCTTTAAAAAAAAAAACAAAAAACAGAGAGGGGTCAAAAGTTAACTCATGTACTCTAGAACCATGAAAGAGAAAACATCGAGTAATCAAGCACCCTCGAAAAACTGCACTTCTGCATCACAGTAACTCAGGACGCCCGCCAGCTGTTCTATTCCGAGAGGAGCTACCATACTGCAAACTCACTAATACAGTAACTGCCTAAAGTCAAGGCTTAAAATAAATGCAAGGCCAAATGCTACTGGCGTTTTCTTTTACATCACTTCTCATTCTATGAATTCAGAACATGTCAGCTTCTAAACTGTGTGGGTCAGCATGACTTCATGAGCAAGGTCAGGTCTTTGGGACCACACGGACAGGAAAACCTCTCGCAGTCACATCCGTGGAGTTAGCAGACACCAGATCGGAGGAATTTTCTGGATAATCATGAAAACGAATGCTGTGACTTTCAACAAGCTGGATCTTTTCTTTGAACCTCAAACACTATTATTTATTAATGAAAACAACAGAACAAAAGTATAGAAAGTATGTCCTAAAGGCAAAGAGAAAAGAGTGTAAGAGGAGATTCAAGTTAAAAAAACAACCCTCAAAATCAGGACTGTATAATCTCTTAAATACCAGCCTTAGGCTTTGAAGTGGGTATTAGCACTCATTTCTCACAGCAGGTTAGCTACGACACAATAAACAACGTTATTTCTGCTCTCACCTCATAAGACCAGACGCACTGGACCCCCGCAAACCTCCGCACGCATCTCCCCACTTCGACGTCCTCGTGGGTGGTGTACATCTCCCGGAGGCACTTTCCAATGTGTGGCACCATCCTCCGCAGAACCTCCCGGCTCATGATCACCCCGGGCCCCCCCATGCAGAAGTTCTCGCCGGGCTCCAGGGCCAGTTTTCCCATTTCTCCTGTGGTGCCCAGTCCTGTCTGCCCAAGAAAGAGGGGTTCACTGCTATTCAAACTCCTCAGAAAATTCTCCAGACGATCTCCTTTGATGTAAACATCGTCGTCTGCTCTCATAAACCATTCGTACTTGTCCAAGTAGTGGTCATGCATGAACTTGAGCATCATGAAAGACTTCTTCTGGGGTGGGTAGGAGTCATCGACACCCCGCAGTGGCACTATGGGAATTGGGATCGCTGTGTCCGAGCCCTCACTAGAGAAGAATTCGACCTTCCCGGGAATTGTCTTGGACCATGTTCTGGAATTAAAAACAAATGGTCAGTGAGAAAACAGTTTATTTCAAGCTTCGTATTCCCAGGAAGTCACATATCTGCTATGGGTGAATCACCGCAGGTTCAAAAGAACGATAAAAAGCTATTTGATCGGCTTGCTCCCTAGAACAGAAGCCCACATTATCACATATCGCAAAGCCAAACTAATTTTCAAAGGCGCCCCAATAAAAAAGAACAATGGGGTGTTAAAATATCTCCAGAGTAACTAGTCTTGGCTATGGCTCAAAAGCAAACTGCCAGGGCACCAAGGTCTAGGTATCCAGGTTAATTTTATGATACTAGCAACTCCACACCTTCAAAGCCCTCTGCTCTATAAAACCAACAATAAAAGAATCAAATCATTTATTCAACATTTTCTTTGAATGCTGACCAAGTGCCAACAATCTGCTAGGCTGGAGGGAAGCAGCGATGAGTAATACACATTCCCGGACTTGAGCTGCTATCAGGAGCCGTATCTATCAGAACAGCTTCACGAGTGCACAGACTGGGATGCACTTAAACGAGTGTCTGAAAGACAGGTGTGCTGACCCAAAGAGAGAAACAAAGGACAAGCAGCAATCCCGCTGAGCACAAGGCTGAGACCACAGGGCGGGGGGTGTGGGGGGGTGTGTGTGTGGGGGGGTGCTGTGAACGGCAGGAGAGCCCTGGAGATGGGGCCTAGACGTGATGAAAACCACCGTGATGCGGGCATGGAGGGATGCGGAGACAGCACCCTGAAAACCCAGGGTGGACCAGCAGCAGTGAGGGAGAGGTCCACAGTGGCCCAGGCACGAGTGCATGGGACCACTCTTCCCACTGACAGGGGAGAGACAGGTCCCTGAGAAGGAAACAGGTAAATACTGCCGCTGCTGGACTGAGGCAAGGCCGGCGGTGCACTATACCTCCTCGATGCTTTGCGAGGACAGCGGAAGTGCTCCAGCTACAAAAGCACTTATGCGGACAACGTACAACAAACACATCCTAAAGAATAAAATACATCATTTAATTTAGCCTGAAGAAAGATCAAAGCACAGTTCTAAGCACAGTTTCCCCAATGTATTGTTATTTTACTTAACCATTACAGTGCAAGTGAAGAGTGACTGGGAAGATCAATGCAAGTCCTCTGTATCTTTCATGTAAGCCTAGCAGAGAAATATCTGAAAAATATAGATGCCAATCTCTGGTGAAGAGGCACAGGAGCAGGGAAATAAGGGGCTGCAGACTGAATAAAAACGACTTTCCCTTTTTATTCTGTATACTTTATCTCTATAGAGGGGAAATCTTATTACATGTTTTTGGGAAAAAATGCTCAGTGTGACAAAATAGACATAAATCAACATTTACCGCTCTAACCCCCTTCTAAGTGTAACATCCAGTGGTGTGAAGCAGTCACTGTCCTGCCACCACTGGTCCTTCATCGTCTCGCAAAACCGAAATGCCTAAGCAAGCATGTCACTTCTGTAATGTCAAAAACGTTCCACAATCAAGTACTTAAAAAATAATTACTGGCTTTACTTTTCTTCCTAACCCAAATATAAGGAGTATAAAATGACTGCAAATGTAGCAGAGGAAAAAAATTGACGGGACTGAGCTTTCTGCAAACATGCACTTATAAAGTCCAAGGATTCCATCGGTATCATTTTTCATCAAACCCCCGATGTCGACAGTAAGATGCACCATTGTTTTACGTACCACAACAAAGGGAAAATAGTGGCCACATAACCATGTGATGCCAGCAGCTGTGAAATGCTTTCAGAGGACGTGAAAAGGCGTGCATCTTAGCAGGAACGCGATGCGGTAGTTTACAATACTGGCTCTCCCTCAACGCCTGTGGATTCATGGACCAGTCACGCCACGGACAGAACTCTTAACAAAGAATTGGGTGCCCCTGAGGGGCTGCAGGCGCTGTACCAGGGACTCTTTCGTGGCACAAAGGAAATGCTCCTGAAGAAGCTCAGCAAGAGAAGCCCAATCATAGCAGGAACAGAGCCACTAGTTCACAGCTAAATCAAGTCCTCGCATGCAGATCACGTTCATTTACAAATGCCAACACACTGCAAATCACACACCCTCAAGGGAAGCTGAGCACACCCTTCTGACACAGTGTCACCTGCAGGAGAGGACTCCCCAGTCCTTAAATCTTTTAAGAAGTCACTGATGAGAAAGTTGGCCAGAATGACCCCATCCAAGTCAAGGACCCCGATTCCCTAAGTAGACATGATTTTTGTTTAGCACTCAACAATAACTCCATGAAAATGTAATTTCAGTGCTTGCCACGTAATAGAGTCAATACCACCCATTTACGTGAAAAGAGTGACTGAAAGATGCAGCATGTGCTGTGTGTGTAAAAAGGCAAGATCGGGCCTCCCTGGTGGCATAGGGAGTTGAGCACAGCGCTGTGAAGCTGTCCGCAGCCTCTGCAGTACAGGTTCGATCCCCGCTGGCGGCGGAGAGGCCCACATGGCGCAGCAGACCTCTCCTGTCTCGCCCGCTGCTCCCCTCAGCAGTGTATTTCGTCAGTCTGCCTGTTCTGCTCCCCATTCTGTCTCTGGTGAATCCCCTCACCCTCCCGCACATCTGGCCTGGACCCCGGTTCTTACATATATAAATAAATCTTAAAAAAAAAAAAAAAAAAAAAAGGCAAGATCATGTCTGCTTCTTATCTTGAGACAATCCAGGTCAGCTTCTCTTCACTCTCTTGAGCTCCCCATGACTCCTATGTGCAGAGGGAAACCAGTTTCATCCAGCCTCAATGAGGAGGCAATTGAGAGGTCAAGTTCAAAGGCACGCTAAAGTTAAAATATACTAACATATAATGCTTCTGAAATATAATTTAAAGCTAAATAGTCTGTATTATCTTACAAGTGATTTTTAAAAGATAGTGAATAAGACATTAAAATACTGAAGCACCCAATGCCTAGGACTCAGGTAAGTGAGACAGCCCCTTCCTTCCACGGGACAACACACCAGAGTGACAACAGACAGCATGAGGGCAAAGAGCACCCAGCTCCTGCGGTGAGGATCCCAACTCCACTCAGGGCATGCGACTCTGTATAGACCAGAGATGATAAAAGTGCTTGCCTTAGAGATTTGTTGTGAGGGTTTAATGTCTAACCCGCTTTGAAGTCAACCCCGTATGCAGTTAAGGTATGCAGTTAAGTGTGACTTATCAGGGTAGACAGGAGTTTGCAAATCAAGCAAAAGAAAAAAAAGAAAAAAAACGAGGGTGACAGGAAAGTGGACTGAACTACAGCTACACACTGGAGGGGAGGTTTGCGGAAAGCCACTTCTTACATTTTTGGCTAAAAATCTGACACTCAAGCTACTTATTGGAATTCTGTCTTACCATCAATTTCAGGCAACCCAAGGAGAGATATCTAACAAGTTTTTAAACTTCACAGGTGTTTTCATTTAAAACATCAGACTCTTGGGGCCTCCCCTGTGGCACAGCGGTTGAGCATTGGGTTGCGAAGCTGCCCGCAGCCTCTGCAGCACCGGTTAGATCCCTGGCCGCCGGGCAAGGGTCCCACAGGGCGCGCAGACCTCTCCTGCCGCCCGCTGCTCCCCTCAGCAGTGTACTTCGTCAGTCTGCCTGTTCTGCTCTCCACTCTGGCTCTGGTGAATTCTCGCACCCTCCCGCGCTTCTCTCACCCTCCGGTGCTTGTATAAATAAATAATCTTTTAAAAAATATATAAAAAATAAAACACCAGACTCTTTCAGACTAGACAGAGGGCTAAAATTCATCTGCATCTGGCCCTGCCTTCTGTGCTCCCACCAGCCGGAGAAGCACTGAGGCACTGGCAGCACAGGCACTCATGCGACTAATGCCTAAACTAGGCTTGAGTGGTGTAATTTGCCCAAGAAGAGAAACCAATTAATTTTAAAAACAGACAATCTAACCTCAAACCATCCTTTAAAGCTTCTCTGCAGTTTTATGCTAATGCCACCCAATTATTATCTTTTCCTTTTTAGGTATCTCTAGGGGGTGAGGGGAGTCATGCTGGCCTTTTCTGTTCTAAATGGTGGTTTGAGGGAAATCTCTCAATAAGAAGTTTTTATAGATCTTAAGAAATTATGATCTTTTCATGTAGGGCCTAAAAATTCCAAAGTCAAAGAGTTCTGGAACATAAATTATGATTCACCTTCCTGAGAAGGGGGAGTGTGTTAATAATTTCAAAGCAGTGAAGGAAATGCTGCGGCAGGTCCTCCTTCCATAATATAAACAGGTCAAGTTCCTTAATTTTCATAAGCAAATGTCAACGTTGCCATCAACAGGTTTGTTACCAGGAACAAAGAGCTCTCACTTAATTGAAACCACAGAACACTTGTGAAGGTTCCGGCCAGAAAGCTCCACTTTCAATGGACTGATAAGCAACTCCTGCTAGAGCACAGATAAGACAAATGAAATTGGAGCATGCCAAGGAGGCTTCCGTTCCTCCAGGCTTCTAATGCTGCCCCTCCACCAAGTTAAATCACAGTGCAGCTGGACAGCCAAGTGTGCTGAGTTAGGACGTAAAAGCAATATCCCCCATCTATTACTGTCATTTTAAGATAACTACATAAATACCTCTCTGTACAAAACTGCATCTCAGCCTGACTGTTGCTGCAGATACATATACAGGTTTATGGGTAAGTCTTGAAAGCAAGCAATGGATACACTCATGCCGTGGATTATTACGGGAATAAAAGTACACATATAAAAATAACATACATACGACCCCAAAGCGCTTACTGTGGTTATTTTGGGAGGGAGGATCAGAAAGATTTAATTTCCCTCATGTTTAATACATTTTCTAAATTTTCTGTAATGGATAGGTAGAATATGCAAAGAATTTTTTTTTTAAGCTGGGGGCAAGTTTTAAGCTAAGAAGTAGCCAAAGAAATAAACAGACTTGACAACAGAAAATTTTACTACTCTATCCAATGGACAAAAACTGAAAGAAAAATGAATTACCTTCTTTCATATTTTCTAAACTTTAATTGTTA